CGGGTGGCAGTGGGGTGGGGTGTGAGGACACGTGAAATGGGGGTGGGAGGGGGCACAAGCAGTTTCCTTTCTTCAGGCAGCCACACAGCTCTGAGCTCTGGGAATCTCACCGGGGCCCGGCAGGTTCTGTCGAGAACAGAGTGGGCCCCTCCAGAGCTGGAGGGGGGGGGGGGGCAGGATCAGAGGAGGATGACCGAGAGCAGGAGAACGGATGGAGCCTCATGCCCAGAGCCACAGTGGAGTTGGCACCAGCGTCCGGCCTGAGCGCCAGGGGCCGTCTGCACTCCTGACCCTCCTGTGTCATCTCCACGCCGGGGAGGCAGGCGGCTGTGAGGGCGGGACTGGCCCTCTGAGTGAGGACAGCCTCACCCTGGCTGACTCCTGGAGCCGTGACCTGGGCAGTCGCTCCCACTCCCGGGCGGTGTCTGCGGTGGAGGTGGCGCTCCGGGCAGGCCCGCAGGCGTGCTGAGCCGGGAGCTGTGAGCAGCCTCACCCTCGGGGGGTGGACACCGCTCACTCGGGTGGGCCAGTACGTCCGCTGCGAGCTGCAGGCACTAGTTGCTGGCTGCAGCGGGTCCCGGGAGCCGGGACGTGGGGGAACCTCCATGCCCCCAGCGAGCACTGCCCACGTCAGCTCTTGCTAAGTGCCCGTTAGAGAAGCGCCTTTTCAGAAAATGCGCGTTTCTGAAGGGTGAGACCCCTCGTTGCTCGGTTGAGGTACATGGGAGTCCTCGTGCAGCCTAGGGGGTGGGGGACAGGGTGGCTGGGCCTGGTGAGTGCCCACAGCTCCCCCGTGTCCACTCAGTGTTGTCTGCCTCAGTGCCACGTGTCTGACCTGTGTCGCCTGCAGAAGGTGGTGTCGGTGGGGCCGGCTTTTCACTTTCATGAGAGAAGGACAGAACTGTCTTTGTCATGTGTAATGCCAGGTTTCAGGCTTTTACATGATTTTACTCGGAAGAGAAAGGGTCTGGGCTTGGGGAGCCGTGGGAGGTGGCAGGTGCGGAAGATGCAGGAACACGGGCTCCTCAGCGTCGCTCCCCATTCCTGGGGCCGAGGTGCCCCCCCTCCTGGTGCAGGGGCCCTCCGCCCAGGACACGGGCGCCTGCTTGTTGGTGCCCAGGGGGAGGCAGGGCCCCGCCTGCACTGAAATGGTCCGGGGCCTCGCCGTGTGGGTGGGGCGTCCTCCCCTCACAGGGAGCTCAGCCCCACACAGAGGAGGGCCGCTCGAGGGCCGCAGGGGCCGGCCGGCACCCGGGGCGGCTTGTGTCGGGATGAGCTGGGTGTCCCGAGCCACGGGCGGCGGGTCAGTGTGCAGGGCCTGGGAGAGACGCTGCCTTCCTGCCTGAGGCCGGCTCACCTAGACCCACCGCGGACGGAGCAGAAAAGCTCTCGCCGCCGCCGCCTCCGCCTCCCATTGCTCTGTCCCCCTGCCGACCCCCTGGCTCTGCCCGCAGGTTTCGCTGGCACGCCCGGGTACCTGTCTCCAGAGGTGCTGCGGAAGGACCCCTACGGGAAGCCGGTGGACATGTGGGCCTGCGGTAAGCACCCCGGCAGGTTTGGGCAGCACAGCTGATGGACTGAGATGGGACCTTCTCCATCTGCGCCTGGGGCCCTGGAGCGAGGTCACCGGGAGGGCGGGCGGGCCCTGCTGGCCGTCTCTGACTCAGGAGCCCCTTCCGGTTCCCAGGAGAGGCCCATGGTGCTGGTCTGAGGTGAGGGACGTGGCGGCCCACGGTGAGCCTGCCTTGGCCTGTCCCCCTCAGCAGCCTCATGGAGCCTGGGTTTGCACAGATCTCGCGTGTGAGGCGGCGGGGGGGGTGTGGGGGGGCGCTTGGAGAGAAGGAGCCGGCCAGCCGTCCTGTGGGTCCGGGCAGCGCCGTGCCTGCAGCGGTCTCCCGGGAGCTCACTGCCCTGGGAGAAGCTGAAGAAGGGGGACAGGCGCTCTGGGCGGTCCTGTGGGGCCATGGACACAGTCCCCTCTGGGCACGCACGGCTCCCGCCGCCTTCGCTGCTCCTCTCTCAGCCTGGACGGGCTGCACAGCCTCGATTCTGAAAGGAACTTGGTTTTACTTAAAAACAAGCCCTTCCCTAAGGCGTGGAAGGTGGGCTGTCCACGCTCTGCTTCTTGGGGCCTCGTTAGCGGCAGCACTAGTGCCGTTCATTTAACCTGGGAACGCCCGGCTCTGGGCCCTCCTCCCCCAGGGCGGCCACTGGGAGGTCCCACGCTGGTCAGTCTTTGCTGGGCTCCTGCCGCCCCACCTGTCCTGCCTCTGAGTGGCTTCTCTACTGTAAAGGGGGGGGGGCGGTATTGCCCTCCTGGGATTAGAAGGGTCAAGTAGGGCGCAGGTGAAATTCAGAGTCTTGGCTTTGCAATAAGTCAGCCCCACCAGCTCTGCTTCTGCTGCTGAATTGAGCAGGCGGGCACTGAAGGGCATGGGGGGACTGGGTGTGTGGCTGCCCTCAAACCCTGAACGCCGGAGGGAGGGAGGGAGGGCCGGTGGTGCAGGCTGGGCGGGGACCCGGGCCAGTCTCCCCTCTCTCCCTCATGCCCCTCCTGTAACGCATGCTCTGCGGGGACCTGGGCCTCCGCGGGCCACTGAGACCCTGTATGGAGACCAAGACCACGGAGCAAGGGCTTCCTCTCCTCACAGGCTGTCCACACGCCCGGCCCCTGCTGTCAGGGCGGGAGTGTATGCCCGGCTCCACACTCAGCACACAGCCCAGCTAGAGGCAGAATGACTAAGAAACAGAAACAAACTCAGACTGCACAAGTGAGCGAGCAGGAGGCAAGGCGGGCAGCTCGGGAGGCCTCAGCTCGGGCCTGCGGCTCTGCCATGGCGTCGTCCCGCGCAGGGCGCTGGGACCGTGCTCGCAAGCATCCCCTCCCCCAGCGCCTCCAAGCACACCCTCTGCCTGCGGCGGGGGGAGGGGGGCGAGTCCAGGGCCTGCCACGGGAGCTCATGGCTGCGACCTAATGCTGTTCCCGCTCGTCCCTGCAGGCGTCATTCTCTACATCCTGCTGGTGGGGTACCCCCCGTTCTGGGACGAGGACCAGCACAGACTCTACCAGCAGATCAAGGCCGGAGCTTATGACGTACGTGGGGACCGGGGCTTCCCGGGGCGCTCTTGGAGGGCAGCCCGCCTCCTCTCCGCCGCATGCAGGTCACCCACGGGCTCCGTGGTCGTCCTCACAGGGAAACGCGGCGCGTCTTGCGTGTCCTCAGCCACGTCTGCTGAGAGCGAGAGGGAAGTGGCTCCCGGGCTCTGGGGAAGGACATCTTGTCCAGTGTTGGCTCTTGGTGCATTTGAACACCTAAGAGTGGAGACGTGTTTGCTGTGGGAAGGCTTCCCCCGTGGGTTTAATCCATTCCCAGTGCCTGTCCTCACCTGCCGCCATGTGGCAGCGGTCGGCAGTGCACGGGCCTCACCGCCCCTCCCAGCCACTGGGCTCGGTGCCTCCTGGGCCCCGGGCTGGCTTCCGTTCGAAGAAGGGGCTGCACAGGGAAGGCCTTTGAAAGGCACAGCCCAGACGTGCTGTTGACGATTGGACGTTTGTATGTGCACCCACCCATGGACTGAGTTCCGAGTCTGAAGAGTAAGGCCGCATTGCTTCCCTTCTTTCTTTTCTTTTTAATACATTTTTATTGATTTCAGAGAGGAAGGGAGAAAGTGGGATAGAAACATCAGTAATGAGAGAGAATCATTGACCGGCTGCCTCCTGCACGCCCCACACTGAGGGTCGAGCCCAAAACCCGGGCCTGTGTCCTGACTGGGGATCGAACCCTGACCTCCTGGTTCCTAGGTCAACGCTCAACCACTGAGCCACGCCGGCCGGGCTGGGTGTAAACTCTAACCCTCACTGAGAGCATCTCTGCTGAATGTGCTCATTATGTGAGTGAGGCTGCGTCATTATCAACAAAAACGCCACTTAAAGAAACGGTGACGCTTCGCTGTGAAGTCCCTGGTGAAGCGATTCCTGAGGGAAGTCAGGGAGCGGCCCTTCCAGGACTGGCTCTGGCGAGGTTCCTGGCGAGGGGCCGCCTTCGGAAGGGCTGGCGTCCGGCCGAGGCTCACGGCCCACGCAGCCCGGACGTGGCCGGCCGCCCTGATGTCCCTGCTCAGGACGGGAGGTGCCCCGGGACCGGCATAGCGGCACGCGGGCGTCGGTACCTGGGGCAGCTCTCCGCTCTGTGCGTTAGTGATTTCTGTAAATAATTATGGGGAGGGTTGCCTAGAATTTCATGTTCAGATCCACGGGAAACTCCTATGAGAGGACTAAGATTCTCAGAATTTCCTAAACCCCAGGGTGTGTGGACCAGACACCACACATGCAGCCGAGTGTGTGTGTTTGCCCCCAGCAGCGCCTCTTCTCTGACTGACAGAATGTGACTAGGGGACGGGCAGCTTCCACCTCGGTCGGCTTCTCTGGACGGTTCTGCTCCGACAGCGTGACCGGTGGGAAGCTCACGGCCGCGGGGATGTCTGTACTTGCTGCTGCCTGTCCCACGGCGGGGACCTGCCTCTAACTCTGAGTTTATGCCTTGAAGTTCCCATCACCAGAGTGGGACACGGTGACTCCCGAAGCCAAAGACCTCATCAACCGCATGCTGACCATCAACCCCGCCAAGCGCATCACCGCGTGCGAGCGCTGAAGCACCCGTGGATCTGCGTGAGTGGGGCCCCCGCCGCCCGCGGCCGGCAGGAAAGGGCTGCCTTGGCTGCAGGGGCTTAGAGCACTGTTTGTAGGAAGAGGAGATGAGTGGTTGCATTTTGTCTCCAGGTGTTTAAGGAGCTAATTTCATGGTTAAAAACGCATTGTGGTAGCAGAGCTGGTTCCATACAGGGCCAGACCCACATTGCCGACCGCCACACGGGCGAGCGTCGCCCACTCATGACGAGTAACATTCACGAGCTGGAGTGAGGAGGTGACACCAGGCTGCACGGCGTCCCGGAAAGAAGGGGGCCGGGGCCATGACTTACAATCGGGCAGCTTTAGGGGAGCGCAGGGCTGGCAGCCGAGAGGTGGTCCGCGCAGGAGAGGCCGCCAGAGGCCGGCAGAGCTGTACGCCTGCCGGGAACACAGCCTGAGCCCGGGGGGTGGATTGCAGCCACGCCTAGGGACGCGGGTCAGACGTCAGGGTGCTGCCTGCGCTGCGGAGTCGAGAGGCAGGCCTGTGGGGATCCGATGAGCCCTGTTTTGAAGGGAGGTAACGGAGAGGCGGGCTAGTGTACACAGCTGGCGTGTGTGCGGAGGGTCTGGGGCCTGGCCAGGTGGTGGGGTGCTGAGGGGGGAGCCCTGGGTAACGTCCCTCCTCCCACAGCAACGCTCCACGGTGGCCTCCATGATGCACAGGCAGGAGACGGTGGACTGCACTGAAGAAGTTCAACGCGCGGAGGAAGCTCAAGGTGAGG